GTTTCATGAATACGAGAAGTCCAAACTACAGTAAAATTCTATAATAACGATTGAAATGTCTCAAAATAAAATAAAATAAAATAAAAACAAATATAAAGCTTTCACCGCGGCAAAAGATTGTCTAGCGTATTTGATAGTTGATAGCAGGTATTTTTCAAGCATCAGCAGTAATCAACCATCATGTAGGAATCCCAGCAACCTTGGTACCGTTCCTGAATAATTTTGATATCTTGGTGGAATTTCTCCCTTTGTTCGTCACTTGGATAATTGGTCAAAATGGCTATTCAAAAAATACATTTTTACGTTCATATTGTAACCTAACTTTTTGTAGTCTCTTACAAGTTTTTTTAACGATTACTTCGTAGTTTTCTGCTCTATATTTTTTCTATAAAATCCACGAAAAAGAACCAAGCATTTTTTACGTTCATTCATGTCATTAGGAAAGCTGTCTTTAATTAATGTTCGTCTTTGTAGACCGTCGAAAATTCCCACATTGGTTTAAATAGGAACTTATTATGAAATAAGTCTTTACAATCTATGAAATTAAACTAGAAACGCAGATGAGTAGATACAATATAAATTGCGTCGAATTAAATCCTTTATTAAATCACGATGACAAAATTAACGACTAAATCATATGCAAATTCAAATTTATGTTAATGCTCAGACTTAATTAACTGACTGATTGAATTGGATGACTATCTCCAGAAATGAGTCGCTTTTATATACAGGGTGTCCATAAAGTTCATGTGCACTTTAAAAAAATTATAACTTTATTTGTATTTGCGATAGAAATAATTTGTAAAAAGGATTAGAAAGAAGTAAATCTATATTTTTGAAGGTTTTATTGAAATTTTATTTAAGTTTCCACATGTCCTCCATCATTAGCAATACAAAGGGTTATACGATTTTGAAGTTCACGGAAAACATTTGCCAACTGATTTACAGTAACGCCTGAAATCACATTAGCTATTTTAGCTATACTTAAAACTAAACTTTATAACATTTTTTACAGATTATTTCTATCGCAAATACAAATAAATTCATAATTTTTTTAAAGTGCACACGAACTTTATGGACACCCTGTATTTTGGTTGATACTCTAGTATATTCTACAGATAAAAAGCAAAACTCGAGAAAATTCTAGAATTCTTTCATATTTTTTAGGTTAATTTACTAATATTAAAATAGGTTAAAAACGAGAAAATGTAAAATATTTTAAGGGTGTTACATATAAAAGTATACATAATACAACAATACCATAACAATAGGTACAAATACCCAGGCAATGCCATAACAATAGGTACAAATACCTAGACAATGCCACAACAATAGGTACAAATACCCAGGCAATGCCATAACAATAGGTACAAATACCTAGACAATGCCACAACAATAGGTACAAATACCTAGACAATACCATAACAATAGGTACAAATACCCAGGCAATGCCATAACAATAGGTACAAATACCTAGACAATGCCACAACAATAGGTACAAATACCTAGACAATACCATAACAATAGGTACAAATACCTAGACAATACCATAACAATAGGTACAAATATCTAGACAATACCATAACAATAGGTACAAATACCTAGACAATACCATAAAAATAGGTACAAGTACCTAGACAATACTATAACAATAGGTACAAATACCTAGACAATACCACAACAATAGGTACAAATACCTCGACAATACCATAACAATAGGTACAAATACCTAGATAAAAACCTAGTTGCATGATGCGTAACTGCAAAAAAGATCTAAATAGTAATGAAAAAAAAAAGACTTTTGTATAAATATGACGAAAGAGGAGGGGGTGTTGAGTAAAATCAGAACCTGACAGATCAAAACCGAATAAAATCCTTGCTCAACGCAATACATTTACATAACTGTCAAATATAATTTAATAGACAAAAAAATTGATATTTTTTTCTCCAGTGAATAGAACAACTGGAGATTAAATAATTCCACGTTATGACATCCTTAGGTTAGAATTTATAATTCAGTTGGCGTTAATAATTAACGTTGTTTTTTTTTCTTTTATTACTCCATTATTTACATTAAAATATCCAAGAGACACCCAAATTAGATGCTTACGGGATGAGGCTGTTTTTATGGATTAAGAATCCGAAGACCCATTGAGATAGCAAAAAATCAAAATTTTAAGGAACAGGGACATTTTGAAAGAAAAAGAAATCCTGAACTGTTATGTAATATCAGTGCTTTTATATGGCAATGAATGGTTGACAATCTCCTCGGAGATGAAGAAGAGCTTTGAAGCAATAGAAATGGGCTTCCACAAGAATACCATGGACTGAAAATGTGAAAAATTGCGAAGTGTTAGAAAAAAATGGAAACATAAAAGTCACTTTTACTTAACATCAAAAAGAGACAGTTTAAATTCCAAGAATGAGAAAAGAGTTCTTAGAAAATTTTGGAGAGCATTGATTGTCCGCTTCCCAAAGGAACATTGTACATAGAAATGGTTTCTCAGAAGATTTTCCTTGGAAAGAGCAGCGATTATCTTGCAATTTTGTAAAAGAGGTGAAAATTAATTCCTCGCCTACAAGACCACGTAAAGGTTTCTGGACTCTGTGGAGAGAGGTTTGGTCAGTTCCAACCTGGATATCGTAGAAAATGCACCAATTTTGTTCTGATCTAACTATCGTAAAGATAACGTATTTAAAATAAAAAAATGATATCCGTTAATAAATTCAACAGACTTATGTTAATATGGCGGGAAGATCAGTGTCTGCGAAACTTTGAGTCAAAAGATAAAACATTGAATTGTGTATGTATATATGTTAGTTGGCTCATAGTTTACTGTTCGCTTTCAGGCCATGAGATTAGAGTTCGAATAAATGCGATATCTGTTAAATCCAGGAATAAATTCGAATCTAACCATGGTCGATTTGACATGAAGTAGACAACTTCGGTAGGCAATCCCAGGATGCAGCATCTTCTGAAGATGCCAGAAAACCATACTCTGTGTTGACCCAGTCCTTCTCAGAGAAAATTGTCCGGAAGTCGTCAGTGACAGTGCAAGCGCAAAATCACAAGTCATCGTGACCGAAAGTTCATGCGTACTAGCGTTGTTCAAATTGCCGGCCATTTTGTATGTATGTATGTATGTACTTGTGTAGTTATGTATATGTAAATTCTTTGTTTATTTACACAAGCCATAGATTCAATATAGACTCATCAAACGTCATTTTTATCGTTAACGATAGATATGGTTATATATATTATAAGCCAGTTTATGCCATGTACGGATACATATTTTAATTTTGTGTGTGTCTCCCTTTTCTTATTTGCGATCAGACACAACTTATGCGCATGCGTAATGCAATGCACTTGCCTCGGTTTCATCTGATTCCTCTAGTGGTTTTTAATAAAATTCCTTTATATCTGTCACGCAAATTTTATTTTCTCCAGTCTTGACACATTTTATTTGATTGTCTAAAAACTACCAAAATTTATACTAATGCATCTAATGTGTTATTTTTTAAGTTTTTTTTTACTTTTATCATCAAGTCGAAGAAATATTATTTGTGTTACGAATATATAACCACGAAATGTATTATTATACAACACCAGAGTGTACTAAAATGTTCCCGGCCCTACCAAGGGATGAACACTATAGCCCCTCGGCGCCTGTTTAAATTAACGCTTTCTTTTTCAATATATTTTCTATAGTGATGAATTATAAGTTTGTTTAACAAATATTTCACTGAAATTCGCTGGAAAAATTCTGTTTTCATTTTAAATCAACAAAGCACTAACTTAAAGCAAAATACAGTGCGAAAAAAGGCGTCTGTTTAAACCAGCAGTTCACAAACATTTTTGCGTTATTGCCCACTTTCAGATGGAAAAACTTTCAAACAGCCCATCTGTATAGTAAATTAATGTGCAAAATTATTAAAATAAAACGTATAATTCCGTTATTATTTACTTATTTGTTCGTATTTTTCCAATGAAACATGGCCCTGTGCACATGTTAGTGATTCTATGTTCATTTCACGAAGTCGTTCCTTGAAGATCGACCACATATTCTCGATTGAATTTAAATCAGGAGAGTTTCCAGGCCAGTCAATAGTACTTTGATTTGCTCACTGGTAAGGCTTGCCAGTGTATTCGTGCAGCGTTACAATTTTCGTACGTTTCTTTGGAGTAACGTCCATCGCAGACAATTGCCGTCGGACAACTAATCGACAATCGAGACAATAGTGTCTGGGCGTGATGAAAATCTGATGTAATCACGGATGACGCAATATTTTTCAAGGCCAAACAAATTTCATCATACACCCGGAAAATAGATTCATATTACTGCACACAATAGCAAATGACCTAATCTGAGGAAAAAATAGAAATCAATTACACCCCATCATTCCAGTGAGTCTAAAACTGACCGTATGGTGAAAGCAGGGAAACTAAAGCGGTTGTTTCAAATAATTTGCACAAGGGTGTATACAAGAGTTCGACTTGAGGTATGGTGTGAGAATGACAGGTAATAGATGCCCCAGAAAAGGAGCTTCATTGAGAGCACATAATTGAAAACTCGAGGTGTGTTCTGGTATTTGGAGGTATTGAATGTTACAAACCAGTTCCTCCATGAATGAACTGTGCGCTCAATTTCAGAAAAGAGGTCCGATGACAGCTTCTGGCATCGGAGAAATTTAAATGGAAACTTAAGAAGGTGCTGCCTAGTTATGGAGACTTCCAGACATACGCCAGATGCGCAAAATAAATATTAAAAAGACTTGCTGAATATAATTAAAAACTTGCAGTAACGATAAAGAAACACTTGTCTGTACATACCTGAAGAAATAACAATAGAAATAAATATGGCGAATAAAATCCGATTTTTAAAACCTCACCAAAGTTAGCCTTTTTTTTCCTTGCTCTTTTATATTGGTCTTGTGTCTGGATAATTTTGGAGTGTCTCACTTTAAAGTAAGCTTTTATCACAGACTATTCTTTCTGTACGATGTTTCCCCTTGACTGGGTGATTGTGACCCTGTGTCAGTGTAAGCTGGGAATGCTACAAATGCACTCTGCCGTAGAGCAGTTGTTAACAAGTTACTAGTGTACAACACAACATTAATAGGGTGTCTAATATTTAGTGGATGAATATCTATTAGGGCTTATGTTGTACGAAACTGTGAAATACGTCTCACCATTGCACATTAGTTAAACTTCTAGGCACGGAGACCGCTATCAGTCATTTGATCTTTTCTCTCCTCTTCCTCTTCTTCTTTGCTATTCATTTAATTCCTCGTCATCTTTTTTTTTCTTGTCTGTTCGTCTTTTCCTTCCTCCTCCAAGTCTTCTCTCTTCATCTTCTCTTACTACTACCTTAGTAATAGTGTCTTCTCCTTCTCCTCTTCTTTTCCCCCTCCTTCCCACATCGTATTCTCTACCCCCTTTCTACTCTTTTTCTATTACTTCTTCCCTTTCCTTTTTTTCTATTTGGTTCTCTCCTTTCACTTCTCTTTCTACCTCCTTTCTTTTCTTTCATTTTCTCTTTTTCTTTTCCTTTCCTTAATTTCTCTTCTCTTTCGTTTTTAATATATATATTTACGTATAATATTTAAGTAAAAACTTTCGCCTCTTCTTTCTCTGTTCGTGTTTTTCTCACATTTTCGTCTCGTTTGTCAAGTTCTCTTTTTTCTTCCTCTGCTCATATTCTACTACCATAATATTTACGCCTCTCTTCTTCTCCCCTCATTGTAGTCTTCCTTTCTTTTTTTTTTCTTCCGCTTCTTTTCATTGGTCCATTATTTCTCTCCCTCCCTCTTATTCTTTTCTCCTCCTGCTTCCTCATCTTTTCCTCTCTCCATTTCTTATCTTTCTCTCTCCTCATACCCTTCTCAGATTCTACTCATTTAGTCTTTTCCTCCCTCCACTTCTTTTCCCCATTTTCGATTACATTTTCTTCTTAACCGCCTCTTCTTTTTTCCTCTTACCCATTCTCTTTTATACTTTTTTCATTCTTCTCCAATTTCTCTCTTCCATTTCCCATATTTCTCTTCCTCACTCTTTTCGCCCGACTTCCTCTTTTTCTTAATCTCATACTTCTCTTCTCTCTTCCAATTCCCTACACCTCTTCTACTCTCTTTGACATTTCTTTCCTTCCTCTTCTTCCACTCTCTTTTCGTACGCCCACATCTTTGTCTTAATCCTTTGATTCTTTCTTTCTCTTCCACTTTCCTACACCTCTTCTTCTCTCTTTGGCCTTTCTTTCCTCTACTTTTTCTTCTCTCTTTTCGTTCGACTTCCTCTTCTTCTTAATCCATTGATTCTCTTCTCTCTTCCACTACCCTACTCCTCTTCTACGCACTTTATCTGTGACTAGCAGTAGAGCCCGGCGTTGCCCGGGGATGTAACAGTAAGAGATAGATCAAGTATCGACCATCATAAAGACTGAAAAATAAAATTGACAAAGATTATTGTTTAAGGTTGACGGACACGCATATCTTAATTAGTTTTTGTTTTGTTTTGTTTTGTTTTTTTTTACGAATTGGTCAAACCCAAACTCAAACAAAAACATTGTTTTCAATCGTTATGAGTTTACCGATTGAATAGAATTTTATTATAAACCATTGTCTTGTAAATGGAATTTTTAAAGCATTCTTAATGTAAAAATAAAGAAAAAAGTGTGCAAGACAATAAGAAACACTACCTGCCAAAAAAAGTGAAGTTTTGTTGAAAACGGTTGAAAAATGCAGGAAATCCGATCCCATACATAAACGAACACAGACACACACTCACAAACAACCTGGGTTTTATAATAAGTATAACTCGATATGAGTTGTCACCCTTTCATTCTCGACAGCGATGCCTCTTAATCGTGTTTTCAAATTGATTTCGTGCAAAAACAACTGAGTTTTTTCCAAATTTTGGCACTGTCAGAACCACCGCAAGGTAATTTTACGTAGTCCTGTGAAGTTTTGTTGAAATCGGTTGGAAAATGTAGGAAATCTGATCCAATATATAAACGAAACAGACACACACACAACCTGGGTTTTATAATAAGTATGATTTCATCCTCTTCTTCTTCCACTCTCTCTTTTCGTCCGACCTACTCTTCTTAATTCTTTATTTCTCTTCCACTTCCCTACTCCTCTTCTGCTCTTTGTGGCCGTTCTTTCCTCCCCTTCTACATCTCTCTTTTCGCCTGTCTTCCCTCTTTTCGTTAATTCTTCAATTCTCTTCTGTCTTCCTTAATCTTCTTCTAAACACTTTGATTTTAGTTCCTCCCCTTCTTCCTCTCTCTTTTCCTCAATCTTTTGTTTCTTTTTTCTCTTTCACTTTTCTACTCCTCTTCTACTCTCGTTAGCTTTTCTTTCCTTCCTCTTCTTTGTTTCTCTCATTTCTTTTCTCTCCTTTTCTTCTTTTTTTTCTATTCACGTCTCTCCTTCTCTTTGATTATTTTCCTCCTCCTTTTTCTTCCTCCGTTTATTCTCTTTTTCTTTTACCTCTCCCAGTCTTTTACTCTCTTTGCATTTCCTTCCTCCTTCTCCTCTTCTTTTCCCCCTCCTTCCCACATCGTATTCTCTACCCACTACTCTCTTTCTATTACTTCTTCCCTTTCCTTTTTTTTCTATTTTGTTATCTCCTTTCACTTCTCCTTCTACCATCTTTCTTTCTCCTCCTTTCTTTTCTTTCATGTTCTCCTTTTCTTTTCCTTTCCCCAATTTCTCTTCCCTTTCGTTTTTAATATCTTCCAATCTTTTTCCTCCTTTTCCTCTTGTCTTTCCCTATTCTTCCTTTCTTTTCTATCACCCTCTTCTTTTTCTTCTTCCTTCCTTCTCTGTTCCTCCTCTCCTCTAAAATACTTCTACTTCCTTTTCTTCCGACCCTTTTTTCTCTTTATTTTTTATTTTTATGTCCTTTTTTATTTTATTTTTAGCTTTTTTTGTTCTCCATTTTCTTATTTATTTTCTTTTCACTTTCTTCGCCATTTTCTCCGTTACTTTTTCTCCCGTCCCACTTTCTCTTCTTCTCTTCGTCTTCCTCTCTTAATATATACTTTTCTATCAACCTCTTCTGCCATTCTCTTTCACTCGCTTCGTCCCCCTCTTCTTAGATTTTCTTCTTCTTCTTCTTCTTCTTCTTCTTCTTCTTCTTCTTCTTCTTCTTCTTCTTCTTCTTCACTAAACTACTTCTTTCTTTTTCTTCTGATGCCACTTCTTTCTCTTTTTAATTTCCTCTCTCTCTTCTTCCGTCCCACCCTCTCTTCTCTTCTTCTTCCTCTTTTACTATCTTCTCCTTTTCTATCCACCTCTTCTTCCATTATATTTTACTCTTTTCCTCCTCCTCTTAGATATTTCTTTCTTTCTTTCTTTCTTTTTTCCATTTTCCATATTTCTCTTCTTTTCTTATCACTCTTCATCTTTTCTTTCCTCCTCTTCTTCCTCTCGACTGCCTCTTTTCCTTAATCCTTTACTCTTCTTCTTCTTCTTCTTCTTCTTCTTCTTCTTCTTCTTCTTCTTCTTCTTCTTGTCTCCCATCCGCTGTTTCTCTCTTTCCCGTTTCTCTCCCTAGTTTCCCTTCCCTTTATCTACTTAAGGTTTTCTCCCTAACTTATCTTCTTTCTTTCTTTTTTTTCTTTTCTTCCCCCTCTCCTTTTATACTTCTTATACATCTCCCTCTTTTTCTTCTCTTTTTTTTTAATTCTTTCTTTTAATTCTTCACTTAAAATAAAAACAAAGATAAATAAATAAATAAATAATTATCAAAACGGATGTCACTGATGCTAAAAGTAAAGCAAATCTTAACTATTTTCTTTTTAATTTCAGTTATTTTCTTCCCTTGAGGCAATTTTTCGCTTAGTTATGTCTCTCCTTTCTCGCATTCCATTTATTATTATTATTATTATTATTATTATTATTATTATTGCTATTATTATTATTATTATTATTGTTCTGCTATTATCATTTCCGCCGTTAGCACTTTCGGGCCGAATGAATAGGAAAAGTTTAATATCAACGTCCTTTGGGCGAAATTATTTTCATTCCCGCCTTTTCCGCTGAGTTATTTGAGATTGGCCATCGGAATAATCTATTTAAGCGTTTCAAGAAATCGGACGATGATGAAAAAATCTCCGAAAACATTGGTTTGTAAATATTTTTTCCAATCTTGACAAACAATTTCCTATTCATTTTTTTGTCTATATCGTGGGACATTGCCCAATTTAGATGTTTCTACAAGAGTGAGGAAGTAACATATACTTATATGCGTACCTACATTTTCTTATGGCAGCTGATCGAGATTTGATGACTAAGGTGTTTTAATATGAAAGAGACAGAATTGATAAAATCATTGCTGGTATTATTTTATTTATTTATTTTAACGTTCTGGTTTCATTAAAACACAATAATAAAAAAAGAAAGAAAAGCAAGACAATAAAGCCACTAAGACACAAGGGGGTTACTAGGTGTGAAAGACTTAGAAAACAGAAAACATTATGAAGGAGCGGGAAAAATAGAAAAGTAATCAGGAAGACAGTAGATAGCGATTGGCATTGCATTTAAATTTTTGAAGATCAAAGTTGACTGGAAAGCAATAAGCCGGAAGAGAGTTCCACAAGTGAAAATTGAGCGAGAACAATAGAAGAGTAATCAGGAAGACAATAGATAACGATTGACATTGCATTTAAATTTTTGAAGATCAAAGTTGGGCGGAATGCAAGAAGCCGGAAGAGAGTTCCACAAGCGAGAAGTACGAGAAAAGAAACTGTTACCATAGAAATTATGGTTACATCTATTCATTTCAACGATAAAATGCCGAGACCTTGTCGCCAATCTAGTACTGCGCTTAAATTCCTAAAGTTGAGGTACCGTAGAGGAGAGTACCCCAGAACAATTACCATGAAATTATTTATAGAAAAGGCACAGAAGCAACTTTACGGCGGTGGGAAAGTGACTGAAGCCGAGACGCCAGATCAGGACTAATAATATTGTCGATTCTCCTTTGGATTTTATCAAGAATCTTTAAATAAATAGAAGGAACGCCGGACCATATGAAACAAGCAATATTTTAAGCATGTTCGAATGAGTAATTTATAGGTAAATAAGAAAGACTGTGAGGGGTAAAATTGTCTAGCACGAAGCAGGGAACCTACTTGGCAATGGATTCAATGTAATCTTTCCACTTCATATCAACCGAGAATTTTAACCCGAGAAGGTACAAGGAGTCACTTTCTTGGAGGTTAGCGTCAGCCATACTGATAGAAGGCAGAAAGGGGGTCCCTCAGATGATTAACAGAGTTTAGCAGACTATTATTTTTCTAGTGGAAGTGTATCTTGGCTCCAAATTCCAGAGGTTGGCCTTTGAGGTCAGACGGACGCCATAATAAGGGAGTCGAGTTTAATTGGCTGAGCTAGCGTGGATATGAAAGGTAGAGAAAGGTGTTTCAGCCAGTTGGTTCTTACACATCAAGCAATATAGACGTGTTGTCTTTTGTGTCTGGAACGGCTCCCTGGTGGTGATGAGAGCGACCCCCTGGTTATTTAGAAAATGTACACGTCGACGTGAATAATAAAAGTGGATAAGTTAAAATTCTCTGGGTTTGATGTCATTCACTGCTGACTAAAACATCTAGCGATCACCGGCCGAAAGAAAAAATGCAGCAAGAGAGAAGTTTAGTGTTAGTGTTAAAATCAACAAGCCATTCGTTGCCCCAGTTAACAACAACGTGTAGGTTGTTTGTGAAATCAGCTGCTAATTTGACATTTTCGAACTGATCAAACTTAGTATCGGGGCAGATTAATGGTGGATTATGCAGTAAATAAATGGTAAAAACCAGGATTATCCTTATATCACTGACGTCACACGAATTCGTAAAGATTTGATGCGAACAACGAGTCAAATTTTTCACGTATTGAGTATGGATGTTGTCATCATCCGGATCAACAAAATGCCGCTGATGAATAAAGACGTCATGAGAATATGTCCTGTGATTGATTTTTCTCGAATCCAGACCAACCATCTGAAACAATATGGCTTCCAGGTTGAAGAAACCGTACAATTTTCCCTTTCAGAGTCTCTGCTCACCGATACGGC